CATTAGCACCTCTAGTAATATATTTACTGAGAAAAATGGTGACGTGTTCAATACTTATTTTACCCGCTGTATTTTCACATTATGATTGCAGGAAAGGTTTCTGTGGCCGACTGCCCGTCTTCAAAGTTAGAGAGTGGAGCATTTTGCTCCTATATGAGGAATCACTTAGGCTTTTACATGAAGCAAAGTGTTGCCTTTTTAATTGCTCCTGTTCATTTCAATGGACTGGTAACATCAGTCAATCAGGTAATCACAGAAAACCTTATTTATTTTAGATCTCCAAATGTAGAAAGGCTTTTAAGTTCTGCTGATACAAGAGGACAAACATGTCATTTTCAATGTCTAAAACAGATTTATAAAAAAAATTGATGTGTCAGATGTTGTTTCTGCTCATTCACAGTTGATTAAGTAAGATGGAGAGACTTGAATAAAAAATACTTTATCCTGGTTTGTTGGCAGAGGTACAAACTGACCTGGAGCCATCTCTGTCAGATCTAATGGATCAACTTAGGCTTCACTTGGAGGATGAATGAAAAAAAAATATAGTATGTATATATATATAGTAAGTGAAAAATAAAGTCAGTGGAGTCTCCAAATTGTTTGGAGTTGTTAGTCTTTCAGTGGTTCCCAATCCCAACCCGTTTACCCCAAAGCCCACTTTCTTAGTTCCAAGTTCACCCCCCGCCCCACACACTTTTATTATTTTTTCAAAACAAAACAAAGTGAAAAGTTGCAAAATTATAGGGAAAAGGAACAAAAGAAGTGAATTATACAAAGTTTAATTTATTCAAATGGACTTGTTTTGGGGATTTTTTATCTAAAAACAAAACATTCATATTATTACATTCTCTCAAGCAGACAAGGTYATGCCCCCCAAGATGCTCTCTGGCACCCCCCAGGTTGGAAACCATTGTGTTACATCACGCCTGCATGCAATGGAAAGTATTTTATTACTAACATCGTTATACTTATATTTTTGTTACATTGTTGCTTCGTTTTGGTAATTTTGCGCTATTGACTGTTTTTCTTATACAATTTTGTGTAGTAGAAGGGAACAAGAGAAGTTTTACACTTTTACATTGTTTCATTTTGTTGTAGTTAATTTTGTTTTACTGTTCATTATCCAGGCAAATCCCAGTGAGATTGTAGATCTCTTTTTTTTTCCAAGGGCGGCCTGGGATGAAGTTTTTTGGGCGTGTGGGGAAACCCGGAGAAAACCCACATAAGCACGAGGACAACATGCAAACTCCGCACAGAAAAAGACCCCAGGTCTGAACCGGGGATAGAACCCAGGACCTTCTTGCTGTGAGGCATCGGTGCTRACCACTGATTAACTAAAGGCAGAATGATGTCATCATTCAATGAGCATGACATGTACCTGAATCAGTATTGGAATCCGTGACACTCGCCCTGTATTTACTTGGTATCAGATCCACACTTGAATTCCTGCTATCGCCCACCTCTAGTTCCCAGGCCAAAGGATGCTTAATCCCTCCAGTGAGTTCTGGGTCTGCCTCAGGCTCTGTGGGTAGCATGCCTGAAAAACCTCCAGGTGCCTGAACCATTTCAGCTGGCTCCTTTTGATTTGAAGGACCAGTGACTCTGAGTATCTGTAAGGCTGAGTTTGGTTAAGCTATGAAGGATAATTGTGTRAAACGGTGAAAACAGCAATAAGGTACAACTTTGTTCATGTTTCACTCCTAGACCTAACTGTCTTGCAGTGGACACAAAGGAAAATGCAAAAGAGGTAAAACATACTCATATCCATTTGCATATAAATTATTTTTGACAGCGATTTGCTCAGTTACACATAAATATACATTACATTATACTAAAGCACTCCTACTCTGGTTTGTTGCAGTTGCCAGGTGTACAGAAATTATTAGAATTAGTAAATAACAAAMTATAATCAAATAAATTTTGTTTTTTCACATACTGTAAATGTCCGACGGGTTTCACTTGGGATAATTAGAACAAACAGGAGGTGTTTGGATAAAACCCACAGAGCTCCATTTGGAAAAACTGATTGCCTCATATCAGTAAAAACCACCTCAAGTTGAAAGTTGAATTTTGTGAAGCCAGAAGTGAGGACTKTTAGTCTGCCTATTTAAAGCCGACTTCATCTCTTGATTATCCACTAACAGGAGGAATGAAAAAAAAAAAAACACAGGACATGTGAGGTTAGCCAAGTCTCAGACAATCCTACAAAGTTAAAAAAAAAAAAAAAGGGCTGACATTAACAGATGTAGAAGCACCGTATGAATCATCAGTTCTACCGTCTCAGTTTTCCGGGTCCGGAGCCAAGTGTACAGAATGATGTGTGAGG